AAAAAAAAAAAAAAAAAAAAAAAAGAGCCCACAAGGGGTCCCGTCTTCTCTCACCCTGTGACCGGTCCGTTCTTCTCTGTCGCTTAACATAAACGCCCTACGCACCAATGCGCACGAGCCGCTAGGCCCGCTTGAGCAGCAGGTACTCGTCCGGCTGGTTAAGCAGCTGAACGATTTCAGATGCCGTGGGGCGTAAATTCGGGTCATAGTTTAAACACAGCCGAATGATATCAGCGAAGGGAGAGTTTTCAATCTTAGAATGAATACAAGGAGGCAACTTCTTCGTAAACACATCCACGAGCTTTTCATATATCTGGTCTGACTCATCGAATGTAATAATATAATGTTGAAAGGGGGAAGGCAGATTCATCATTTCTTGAAATACGCATCCCATGGACCAAATATCCCACTTGTAAGACAATTTCGTATGTTCTAAAAAGTTATAATCGCTACTCTGCTTCAAAGGGTGACACGTTAATAATTCAGGAGGAGCATAAATCCATGTGGCACCTGAAACATTGGTTACTATTCCATCTTCACATTCTTCTGAGTCACCAAAATCGCACAGGTGTATGTTCCAGTCATCATCAACGATTAAATTTTCAGGTTTGATATCCCTATGTATAATTACGTCCTTTTTGTTCTTTATGGGTGTGTGTAAAAAGTTGATTACATTGGCTAGCTGCCTACACATTTTCAAAGACACATCTATGCTCATCACTTTGTCGTCCTTCTTCATATTATTTTTTATCGTGTGCAGATCTAATCCGTTAACTAACTTGGTTACTAGCCAAATGTCAAAATAGCTGTGTATGATTCCTCCACAAAATTTAATTATATTTGGGTGATCACATTTCGACAGGATTTTCCATTCGTTGATGGACCTTTTGGTTAAGCCGTATGGGTCTTGCTTGGCCATTTTATCTACTGGTACCTTCACAGCTACATGCATTCCTTTATACCATCCTTTGTAGACCACTCCGAATGATCCTTCCTCAATCACTGTGTATTTGAACTTGCTGCTAAACTTGTTTGTATACAATTTTGTTTTTCCCTTTTCTCTTTTCATTTTGCCACCCAGGGGCGGTTGGTCCATCAGCTGCCCTGCTGCAGCTACTACTGCACCTCCTCTGGCGCCTCCATTCACGTGGTAGTGATTTCCTGCTGAGTTCGCAACTGGACTTAACATACCGTTCATTTGATTAGCACCCGCTCCCATGGGTAGGCCATTACCATCCACACAACCTATTCCTGCTCCCCCTTGGTGCAGCTGATGGTGGGTATAACAGTAATCTCCATTCGTCACACCACCACTCTCGTAAGTAAAAGCATCTGTCTCTTCGCACGTTTCAAAGTATAGGTCCTTGGGCTTTATATTATACGCAGCTAGCGATTTTAAATATTTTATTTCATTCTCAAGATTTAAAAGCTGATTTTTGGACAACCTGAACACATTTTCGTATTCCTTCTTTTTAATGGCTAGGTCGCTGGTGTTGGAGAGGTACTTGGCATGCTGCCCGTGGTCGGGTTCGCATGAGGGATGCATCTGGTGAAGGGGGTGCAGCTGATGGTGCGAGTGCAACTGCAGGAGGGGTTGCTGTTGCTGTTGCTGTTCATAGTAATGCTGCGCGTACTCGCTGAGGCCTCCTCCGTTCTGGTTGTGCAAAATCGTTGCTCCTCCCCCTGTCACGCCAGTTACGCTCGTCACTGCTACAGCTGGCGATGCCAATGCTGCTTGCGCACCGCCCATCACCATGGAAGGTTGTCCTCCATTTCGCACGTCCCCGTTGGGCTGCACCACGAGGTGTGCATAACCACTCTGATGATGCGCGTTTCTAACCTTTGCGCAGTTTTTTCCCATGTTCATTTTCAAATTATTATTCAAAATGTTTCTGTTCTTTGTGCAATTCTCTAGCGCGTGTTGTTGCATCAGATTTCCTGTCTGCTCGTTGCTCATGACGTAATTAAATGATTCAACACTTGGACCCCTCATGCTGTTGTTGTTGCTTCCTCCTGCTGCGTGTCCGCCACCATTCACACCTACTCCGTGTCCGCCACCGCTCACACTCGTTCCACCTACCGCGGGAACCACACTGCTGTTCTTATTGTAACAAATGCCTCCCACCGAGTTGTACATGGCCACATCCTGATTCACTGCATTTCTCATGTTCATGTTGCTGCCTGCCACCTTTAGGTTATTTTTTTCTCCACTGATTCTTAAATCTTCGTTGTGTTTGACGGGGCCGCCCGCGCAGGTGGGGAGCATGTTAAGCGACACGTTAGGGACACTGCCATGCGGAGCGCTCTGCAGGCCGCTATGAATGCCGCTACGAACGCCACCATGCGCACCATGGTGATGGGGACTTGAGGCACCCTGAATCGGGTTAGCCATTTTCGTATTCACATTATTATACGCACACTGCGGGTACCTACTCGGAGCGTAGCCCTTGCTGCATATCAATTCCTCGAAATTTTTTCCCTTCATTAACAAATCGTTTGGCACGGTGCCATCGTTGTTGATGTTCCTTGGGTTCTGCGCCATGTGCCCTGAGGATAGTCCCATGAGGTTTCCTGCCCCACCAACAGGTGCTCCTCCCTTCCTAGCGTGGTTCGCTACCACACCTCCGTTACAATTCAGTGGGTTTTGTACCATAGCCCTTATCACGTTGTTCATGCTTGCACTGTTGCCTCCAACAGCGTAATTGGCAGCAGCATAATTGCCGCCAGCCGTGTATGTGCCTCCCCCGCCGCTATAGTTGCTACTACCGTTGTTACTGCTACCACTGTTGGTGCTGCTGCTAACCGTGTTGCCCTGACCCAAGCTACCCGTCCATTTGGTTAACACCTCGGCCTGCATACCGTACCTTCTTTCCTGAGCCTTAGTAGTATTTTTATCATCGTCTTCCTTGCACACTTTTTCCGGGTCTACCGTTACGGCAGCGAGTTCAGCCTTGTACCCGTAGTGACTCATCTGGTCCTCAATTCTGTGTTCGCCGCTACCTCTGGTGTGATTCATCGGGTGGTTGCGGAAGAGCCGAGCATCTCCCATTGAAGCAGACGCCACGCCAGTTACAACAGCACCATCTCTTCCTTTATCATCAAACCCGCTTTGAAGAGGAATATTATTATAGTCCCTCGACCCAGCGGCTCCCCACACTTCACCATTGCTAGCCTTCATGTACATATTCTTGTTTCGCATAAAATTTTTTCGAAAATGGGGGTGGGTGTGTCCGTTTTGCGTACCCACTCCGTCGGCTCCACTGGGGAAAAAAATTTCCTTCGTCAAATCTTCTACATTACTTCCATTGCCCTTAGGGTCTCCGCTCAACACTCCATTCAAGTATCTGTTGTTGGCGCCCCCTTTTGTGTAGTGGGGAATGCCGGGCTTTCTCCTTTCATTAAATGATCCTCCTGCATTCTGTTCACTGGAGTTGTGATTCGTGTCTCCCTCAAAATGCTCCTCCACCACATGCTTCGAGTATTCATTAAACCTACCGCTGTTGCCTTTCCCATTCTTGCTACTCACAAAGGAGTGATTAACATGTGACTCCATCATTTTATTTGTCTTTACATCTTTCCTCATTTTAGGGTTACCAATAAAACTGGCAAACTTGTTACTGTTCGCGTCTATCATTTTGGGGTGGGTGAGGTGATGATGTGACGTCTGATCCTTCACAACACCTTCGCTGGGTACTCCACCCGTCGAGCCACCTACATGAAAAAAACTTTCCTCCCCTATATTGGACGCATCGTTTGAGTTGTCCTTGCAGTAGGTACTAACCGTTTCGCACATGTTATTTCTTTTTCCTTCCCCCAGATTGCTCTTCATGCCGCTGTACATAAATTCGTTCTTCTTTGAAGGGATAATAATACCACCCTGCGCAGTGGAGTTGTTTACGTTTGATACACCTCCGATGCTTCCACATAGAGTGCTGCTCGCCCCTGCTTGTATATTCGGTCGGGCGTTATTAAAAAAGGTATTAAAATTTTGGCTCAACATAATGTCACTAAGATTTTCATTAATTACAAAGCTGTTCATTTTATGGCTTGACATCATATGCGAGGAGGTCATTGTTCCTGCATTTGTGGACGGGGCATATGCACCCCCTACCTTACTGAAGGACACACTCGAGTTGTGTTCATGCGGAGAGGTGTTGGTACAGTTAGTGGCGCTACTAATCGTTGTGTGTGTGATCCCTCCGTGGGTAGACATCACGAGGTTACTACATGCATCCATTTGGCTGCTAGTCGAGTTTGCCTTGTCACCACTGCCCATCAACGCTGGGGGGATCATTTTCCCTTTCGCCTTACTAGCATCGGTTGGAGGATAATTATTCCCCTTCCTGTGGGGCACAGGCAGTATACCAGCACCACTGCTGTTGCTGTTTAGAACGGTTAGGTATTTTCTGCTTTCATTGTCGACCTGCAATAAATTGGAGCCTCCCAAAACATGCGCAGGATTGGCACCAAGTCGAGCGTCTCCCCCCAAATTACCCACACTATTGTTGCTGTTATGTGGGCCGGCATTTCCATTATTCATAATTTTTACCTTGCCGTTCATACATTTATTGGCGTGAATATGTTTATTAATGAGAAGCTTGCTGGGGTTATAATAGACAATGGAATGTACGAGATTATTATTTCTGTTGTTTTGCATGACAGGGGGTGTGTTCTTCTGGGGTAGGAGGTGATTTTCTACCAAATTTACATTCTTCGAAGTAGGACCTGTCATCGAGTTCGCCACCTTCTGGTGCGCTTCTTGTCCCTCTCCATTTTTGCTCATGAAGTGGTTGAAGCTGTGGGCGCCTCCATTGCACGCATTGGAGATGGCCCCATTTGGTACTTCCCCACTGGGGAGGCTGCCATTTGGTATTTCCGCATGTGTGACTCTCCCACTCAGGATGTCCATCGTGCCTAGACTCTTCACTCTTCCAACCTGACTTGCATTACTAAACATATCAATCGTGTTACCATTCTGTAGGTGGTTTGAATTGCTTCCACTATGGTTTGGACGATCAGTGGTCGGAGGGAACTTCTCACGGTTTTTCACTTCACTCTGCTTCTGATACCCGTTGCGTGAAAAATTAAAATTATCAACAGCGTGTTGTTCGTTTCCACTGCTGGCGAATGCTCCTGCTATGGCTCCTCCCACTTTTGCTCTCTGGTTCAAAGTACCCGATTCAACAGCATCAAAAAAGTTTGTTAACAAATTTTTCGTTTCATTAGTGTTTCCGCAAAATATGGAGGGGTCATAATGGGTACTTCTTTCACTGTTCCAGTTGTAAGAACCTCTGGCTGTTCCTTCCTCCATGCTCCTATCTCGCAAGACTTCGTTCCTCACATGCTGAGAGCGCTGTATTAGCCCAGTGTCATTTTGGAGTCCCTGTAAGTTGCCATGGTGGGCAGAAGCTGGGGCGTCGCCAAAGCCGTTTCCACGGCTAATGGAGCCCAAGCCAGAATAATCTCTTAAATGACTGGAAGGGATGTAACTCCCCTTTAACTTCGCATTCACATGATTTAAATTGTTCGCATTTCCGACAACACTGGCACTGCCTGCCAAGGTGTTATGGGCATTTCTTCCACTGACACTACTACTACTACTGTTGGAGTTGATTGGGTTTCCTATCCTCTTCGCTTTAGTGATGCTTAGGTGATAACCCACCTGATTGTACTCCCCATTCAAGTGCATCCATTCTTCTTCATTGCTGACCATGCTGCTTCCATGGGTGATAATGCTATTTGTATTTATGGTGATTCCGTTTTTATGAAAGTTTCGATCCACGAGGGGGTAGCCTTCGTGTGTTAACGTCACATCTGCGTGGTTGTATTTTTGCACGCGATGGGAGTTGCTCAAAAGGGTTCCATCATCAAACGAGTTTCTACCAAAGGTTGCGTCGTCAAATGAGTTTCTGCCAATGGCATGCAGCTCCTTGTTACTTACTTCTTCCTCTATAACACGATTTTGGTAGACCTTGTTCTCCTGAACACGGGAGAGCATTTCTACGTGTTCGTTTTTTCCGTCTGTTCCGCTCTCTCCCCGGGTGCACTCGACAGATCTGTCACTGCCGGTCATATCAGGCCCACCATGATCTGTGGGCGTAATGGCCCTTTCAATTTTCTGCCGTGTGCGTAGAAATTCTTCCTCTAGGCAAGGGGAGGCTCCCTCTACAACACCTGGCGCTGGGTCTTGATTGACGAAGAGATTCCCCACAGGATGCGACTCATCTCTGGGGGTATTATCATCCTTCACATGGATAACACAATTGTTTAAACTGAAGTGGCTACTTTGCCTTGTTGCTGTGGTGCGGAGTACGTCGTCCTGATTTGCATGGGCGTCACTTACATTTTTCTTTTGAGTGAAATTTGTTTCGCTTCCCCCAAGGTGGGTGTTACTGAACAATGTTCTGTCCCCTTCCCCGCCCGTGGTGCTGCTTCCATTGCTGCGGTTGCTATGGGCGTTGCTATGACCGTTGCTATGACCGTTGCTATGACCGTTGCTATGCCCGTTGGTACCGTCGCTGCTTCCATTGATGCGACCGCCTCGATCGTTGGCAGCCGCGTCACTGAAGTCACTGTCCTGGTGCATTTGACATGTGTTTTGACTCGCGTTCGCCGTTTCCACATGGTCGTTACTCAAGTGCTTGCACATGAAATCGTCCTGGTGGGGACGACTGGTCGAGCGGACGAATGCGTTTGCACCTGTAGGCACCTGTTTTACTGACACACAATTGTTATTGCTGGTGCTACTGCCTGCGAAGAGGTAACCTTCGTTGTCAAATTGAACCTGGGTGTCTTGTGGGACAACACCACCATCTTCTAGATCATGGTGGTGATTTTTTTTTCCACTGGATGGAAAAACATAATCATCATTCAAGGTGGCATTGTTATTAACATTGTCGAGAGCATTATCGTTTTCTTCATTGTCATGCACGTTGGCATAATACTCGTTGTGTTCACTGTACGTTCCTATCTGGTTGAGACACAATGCGTCCTTCCCCCCACAGTGATGATCATTAAAAAAAGGATCACCTGCAAAGGGCTCGCCGCTTCCAAAGGGGTCGTTGCGCAAGGGATCGACAATGAATGGGTCCCCTGCAAAGGCCTCTACATTAAATGGATTGTTGTTGTTATAACTGTGTTCGCGGCTACTTCTCCTGCTGCTGGAGCAGTTCTCATTTCCACCTGGGCTGTTCCTATTGGTGCCGCTATCCTCTTCCTCCCCTGCGCTGGTGACAGCTCCGACTCCCTTTTCTAATGCGTAATTCACGCACTGTGCTTCGGTCATTTCGGCGTGGTCCGTGTGGTCCAAATGATCACCAGGGTCGCCGAGGTCGCCACTCCCTGCAGACACTCCACGATCATCATAATCGCCAACGTGAGGAGGAGGACTTTTTATTTTGTTCTCCTTCTGAACAAAATGGAAACAACTATTCGAGCCTCGTTCCTTCTGGTGGCCCACTAGTCCCTCTTCAATAAAGTTTAACTCTTCACGTAGCCTATGCACGTTGTTGGAAAAATTTACGCCATTTACTTTAGCCACCTCGGGAGAATCCTCCTCTTCCTGCTCCTCATCATCGTCATCACCATCGCCATCCTCATCATTGTCGCAGTAATTTTTTATATTCTTTCCTGGGTCGCCATTGCAGGGGAAGACATCTGACGCTCCGCTTCCCTGACCTCCCAGCATTTCTAAATCCCTCATTGCGTTCGCATCGATGGAGATTTTTCTTCCGTGGCTATCGACAAACCCACAAGGATGCATTCCCTCCTGTGCGAAGGAACCCCGACGGGAAAAGAATCCCGGAGTAGCAACCAGAGTTGCTTTATCGTCATAACCTTGCTGTAGTAGTATGTGTTGCCGTTCTTGTTGCACCTTTTTCAAATTTGTTTTTTCACAATTTGCATTTGACTCGTTATGTACGAATGCTGCATGGTAATTTGGATTGACCGTCGATGCGACTGTGTTATGAATAGGGGTTTGTTCTTCCTCTAAATTTATTTTGGTGCATCCCACAGTGGGTCCCTTATCAGTATTGTTCATATATATGGGGGTGTTGTTATGGTTAAGTGATGCATTCAAGGATTGGAAGTCTGACTTGTACATATTTTCCACAGCAATAGCATTTCTATCTTTAGAAAAATTTTCCATTTTTTTATTAATTACATGGAGGAAGCTTTGGTAATTTTCCTTCTCTTGTCCTCTCATGTACTGATTTGAATAATTTATTACTGGGGGGCGTATTTCATCATTTGCCTTCCCGTTCCTGTTTGCACAGTTCATTTTTTCATGGTCGGTGAGTATAATAGGGTCTTTTTCTTCCATCCTACTGGGGTGGATTGCCCATTTGGCGCTTTTCTCCCCAACACTGTTAAGGAACATCCCATGGACCTTATCGTACTCGATTGGCCTCTTACTCGGGGAGAGATTTTCACTTGCACTTGGTGATAGCTTGTAGTTTTCGCACCCTCTGGCGTTGTTAGGGTTGGGTTCGTTCTTGGGGTCTTTTTGGAAGCTGTGTGTAGTACTCGGCTGCCTCAAGCCACCGGTGGCGATTCCCGTCCCATCTGGGTGAAATTTATTGACAAAGATATTCCCCACGTCCTCCGCCAACACGGCTGCTGCTTTCTCCCAATCGTGTGCGTTCTTTGTTCGTTGATCTGAACAATGCGATCCGTTCATGAGGATACTCCTGTTTGGCGCATGCACTGTATTGTCCACGAAGCCGTGTTGTAGTTCCGTGTGTATAAAATTACTTAAGTGTTGGTTCCATTTTACGTCCTCTTTTCGCTCGTTCTCATTTGGGATTAGCATGTAGCGGAGGTTGGCTGCAGCCTGTACACCATGTAAAGGGTTACCGCCCTTATCTCGGTCTTTAAAAAAGTTGCTGATGCACTGTTTGCTGCTATCCATAATAGTACCGTTGGTGGAATTTTTTCCATTTCTCATTTGGTCTGCACATTGGCTTGTCAATATATTGGGTTGGTTAATATTTTCTGGTGTTTTAGGGTTCCTTATATTTTTATTTATATATGCGTTCAAATAGTTTAGCATATACTCGTTGCTGCTACCCCCATGTGTTGGAGAATTTCCTCCAATGAAATCGTTCCTAGTGTCTCGGTGAGTATTTGCACTACTGCATTGCGCAATGTTGACTGAAGCTCCACTTTCTTCCCCTTCTTCGTCTTCACCTTGTTCCAACCCCTGGTGATCGTAGTGCTCCTGTTCCGCCAGCTGCGCGTGAACCTCTTGGAGGTCCTCGCGCTCTACCCCCCGCAAAACACAATCTTCTAAATAGGTAGCTGACGAGGTTTTGTTCATTTTGTGCAAATCATTTTTGGTTTATACCACAAAGGGGGGGGGAAAGCACAATGGAATAAATCACTTTTTGCTTCTTCTTTTTTTTTTTTTTTTTTTTTGCTGACGGTTCAGGTAAATTTTATCATTAGGGAGGGCAGGTGAATTCGATGTCATAGTGTGTTTGCTACTTGAATTTTTTTGGAACAAATTAGTTTTGTTAAAAATCTGTTCATTATTTTTGGTAAACCTTGGGTCTGTGGGTTGGGTAACTGTTGTGTCTCAACCAGGACGGGACCGAATAAATATCAACACAGAGAGCAGTGTGCGAGAGGAAACGAATAAGAGAGTGTAGACTGAGTCAAATAAATATGCATAAATGCGCATAAGTTGTGAGGTGGTACACAACTACGGGGGCGTCTCTACACACACAAAGCTCGGTTAGCTACCTACATCTACACGTGGCGACTGTGCACCTTTACGTAAGCCACGCAGGAAAAAAAAAAAAAAAATGGTCGCAGTCCTGGGGTGCCGTTTGGCAGGAACCATTACGCAATCGCGCAGATACGCGAATTGTATGTTTGGCCTAACCTACACGGGAGAGGGAGGGGAGGAAACAAAAAAAAAAACAAAGCAGCCCCGGCGATACCTTCCTTCACTGCATAGGGTTGATTCGTTTTGTTCTCCACCCGTCCCCAATGGCGTCACACAACGTCAAGGCGTTACACAACGTGCAGCCGTTTCGCATGCAGAAATTTCACAACGTACACATATAGCAGCGGCGCACGTATACGCGTACACATGTGCACCTAGGGCAAATCATGCATAGCAAATCAGCGCCTTGGCCAAAGTGCTGTTTTGCATAATGCAAAAAAAAAAAAAAAAAAAGAAAGCAATGGAGTAGTGTGCGCATGTATGTGCGTTCGTGCATGCGTCCGTCCGTCCGTTTGGAGGAAAAAAAAAAAAAAAAAAAGGCAAACAGCATGCAAACTGGATGATAAGCTTCTATCCAGCTAATATGATACCTAATTTAAAAAAAAAAAAAAAAAAAAAACGCACAGTTCGCACAATATGGAAGAACGTATGTATGTACATAAATGTGCGCGCTTGAGCTCGCTGTGTGCTCGTGGACCGGCCAAAGGGAAGGAAGGCATTCGGGAAAACAATGCGTAGTAAAGTAAATAGAAGGGTAAGAAAACGTATGCCCACGTATCCATGTATGTGCGTGTGCGCCGCATACCTACGCGCCACGTGCAGGGGTACACGTATACCAAAGTAAATATGTACGTGTATAATATATGTAAGTAATTTATATGCGTAGGGGTATATAAAATAAGCTACCCTTAAGCGTGCTGCTACTGCCGGAGGAGTTTTCCTTGCTCTCCCGACGGGGTTTGCCTCACTCCCAGTCAGGCAAGCGCGAGTGTATGCGCATGCTTAGAGGACGCTAGAGCGCAAACGTGCATGTGTGCGTGACATGAAGCACACGTACAAGCGGAAAACCAATTTTGCATGAACATGCCACGTAAAAATAAAAAATTAAAACATAAAATTGGATATATATATAAATATACATAAAAATAATGCATACAAAAAATATATAAAATATGCTTACAAAAAAATGCATAAAAAATATTAAGGCAATAATAAATAAAATGGAAAAATGCGAATAAAATTAGCAAACGAAAAAAAATACAAAAGCGTAAAAAACGGCAGGATAAGGTAAAATATAAAAATGCGCAAAAACGCGAACAAAAAAAAAAAAAAAAAAAAAAAAAAAAAAAA